AACCCACAAACGCAAGCAGCAGCAGCAGCAGCAGCAGCAGGAGCCGCAGCAGCAGCAGGAGCAGCAGCAGCAGCAGCATGTGCCCTACCGAGACAGCAAGCTGACGCGGCTGCTGGAACCCGTGCTGGGGGGCAGCAGCAAAGTTCTGCTGATTGCATGCGTCTCTGCAGCAGCAGCAGCAGCAGCAGAAACAGCAAACACTCTCGACTATGCAGCAAGAGCTTGTGCCATTAAAAATATGGCAGCAAAAAAAGGAAAAAAAGAAAAAGCTGAAGATGCTGTTGCTGCTCTGGAGAGACAAATACAACACCTTAAGCTGCTGCTGCTTCAGCAAATGCAGAAAGCAAGTGGGCGCCTTTCTTGCTTCTGTTACTCCTGCTGCTGCAGCTCGTGCTGCTGCAGCTCCTGCTGCTGCAGCTCCTGCTGCTGCAGCTCCTGCTGCTGCCGCTCCTGCTGCTGTTGCATCAGCTTATCTCTTTTTGTCCTTTTTTTGCTGTGGCTTTTTCTCCTTTTATTTCCGTTTGCCTTTCTTCTTTCATTTTACATCAGTGTTTGTTTGCTGCTGCCTAGCTTTTTGCTTGTCTCCTTTTGTCTCTCAAATTCTTTTTATCTTTTTTCATCTCCTTTTGTCTTTTTTAAATCTATTTTGTCCCTTTTAATCTCCTTTTGCCTCTTTTTTTACCTTTTTTAAACTTTTAAAATCTCTTTCTGTCTCTTTTTGTCTTTTTGTTGCAGCAGCACAAGTGTTCTTGAACTCTAAATCCGAAACTCTAAACCCTAAATCTGAGTTCAAATCGGCTTAAGGAAAGACTGACTTTGCAGCAAAGCAAACCCTAAACCCTAAACCCTAAACACTAAACCCTGGACTCCGGGTCGTCAGACACACAATCATGCAAATCATTTTCCCTTTTTTCCACACAGATGAAGCGGAGTCCCTCATGCAGAAGCAGCAGCAACAGCAGCAACAGCAGCCGCAGCAGCAGCAGCAGCCGCAGCAGCAGCAGCAGCAGCAGGACGAGGACGACACAGCTCGCCTCCGCGAAGAGCTCAATGTAAGGCTTTTGTGTTTTTGCATGTCAATTTAATTTTTAATTTATTTTTAATTTAATTTTTTGATTTATTTGTTGAATTTTTTGTTCAACGATATTTTGATTTAGTGCCAAACCAACTAATTTTCATTTCATTCAGAATGCTCAAATAAAAGATAGGACGAGCAAATGCAGCAAATGCGCAGCAAATAAATCTTAGCGTTTAATTTAAAACATTAGAAGCTGTTCCATCGGTTTGCTGCTGCTGCGGTTGCTGCTGCTGCTGCTGCTGCTGCAGCGACTTGCGGATGAGGCTGCAAGCCTGAGGCGGCACGTGGCGGTACTTGAAGAGCAGCTGCAGCAGCAGCAGCTACAACAGCAGCAGCTCCAAGCGCAGCAGCTGCAGCAGCAAGACGAAGAGGACCTGCAGAAGCCAAAGGATTTGCTGCAGGAGCAGCAGCAGCAAAAGCAGCGTGAGCGCGCTCTCCATCTGCTCCTTTCTTGTTAAAGTCCACAGTTCATTGATTTGTTGCTGCCTCTGCTGCTGTGTCAAACTGCTTGCTGCTTCTTCTGCATGCCCTTCTGGCCTTTCGCTGCGTTTTTGTGAAAAGCTGCCGCAGAAACTGCCGAAGCAGCAGCAGCAGCAGCAGCAGCACCAACAACAACAGCAGCAGCAGCAGAACCAGAGAGGCCAAAGACGCCAGCTTTTAGTACTGCAGCGCTGCAGCAAGGAGAGGAAGTGGGCCGAAGCTGCTGCTGTCTTTCTCGCTGTGTGGTTTCCGCTCGTGCTGCTGCTGCTGCTGTTGCTACTGCCACTTTTGCCGCTGCTGCAGCTGCTACTGCTGCTGTCGTGCTGCGGCGCTGCAGCTCCTTGCCAAAGACACCCAAAGCCGCGCGAAGGCTCTTCAAGCTGCTGCTGCCTTCGAAGGAAACAGCGGCGCCGCTGAGCTGCTGCAGCTGCAGCAGGAGCGCTTGTTGCTGCTGCGGGAGCAGCAGCTGCTTCAGCGAGAGGAACAGATCCATAGGGAGATGCTGCTGCAGCAGCAGCAAATATTGCAGAACCATCAGCAGGCGCTGCTGCACTCACAGCGAAAAGGACAGCTGCAGCAGCAGCAATTGTTGCAGCTACAGCAAAGTGAGCCTGCGCAGCTATTGGAGCAACAGCAGCAAGACGAGCTGCATCAGCAGCAGCAGGCTGCTGATGCAGATGAGGAGCATTCGCAGCAGCGGCGGCAGCAGCCGCAAGAAAAAGGGCAGTGGCAGCAGCAGCAGCAGCAGCAGCATGAACAGCAGAGGACGTCGATGGAGCTGAAGGTACTGCAGCACGGGGACGAGCAGCTGCGGCAGCAGAGGACTTCGCAGCAACAGCGATTGAGCGATGAGCAGCTGCAGCAAATGAACCCGAACAAGCAGCAGCAGCAGCAGCCGCAGCAGCAGCAGCAACAAAAACAGCAGAAAGACGGCGCAGAGTGTGGAACTGCTGCCCATAGGGGAAGCAGCAAAACAACTATGGGTGTCGCTTGCGCTGCTACTGAGGTGTACGTACACCCCAAACTTAACCCCCGCAGCTCTGTGGGGGGCCCAACGCCCTTCCCCCCAAGGGGCCCCCTGCCTCTTTTTGCTGCAGTTTGTTTGTCTTGTGGACCTCCTGCGAAGCAACAAAAGAAAGAAAAGAGGCAAAAGAGGGCCTCAGTCTCTTTTGCTGCTGTTCCGCGCGCGCACTCGACCCCAATTCGTTGCCTCTTGTTCTTGCCAGAGGCAGGGGGGCCCCCTGCTGCAGCAGGGGGGCCTCCTGCTGCAGCACGGGGGCCCTCCGCTGCAGCAGAGGGGCCCCCTGCTGCAGCAGGAGGGCTGGGGGCCCCTGGGGTGGCCCTCATAACTGCCAGCGACGCGAAGCTGAAGGTTTGGGACTTGAGCTGCATGGCGTGCAAGTGGAGATACACCCCAAGCTGGGGTGACACAGCAGCAGCAGCAGCAGCACCAGCACAAGCAGCAGCGAGCGGTTCTTTGGTCCTGTGGGGTCTTGGTGCTGCACTCAGTGGCTCCCTGGTCGTTGCGGGCGTCGGCGGCTGCCTCCAAACATTCGACCTCAGGGGTAAGACTACCAGCTGCTGCGCATGCAGCAGCAGCAGCAGCAGTATCCGCAGCAGCAGCAACAGCAACAGCAACAGCAGCAGCATTAGCGCGTGACGCCTCAGTATTTACTGCAGCTGCGGGAACAGCTGTGTCCCGGCACAGCACCAGCGGCACTACCAGGAGCAGCAAGAGCACACCAAATCAGCAGCAGCAGCAGCAGCAGCAATGCAGCAGCAGCAGCTGCTGCTGCTGCATCGCGGCCCGAGTGAGTGCTTGGAATGCAGGGTTTTTGGTTTTGCTGCAGCAAAACGGCCGCAGCAAATTTACGCTAAGGGCCTCAAGGGAGGGGCCCCCCATTGCCTTGCAGCAGATCCGGGGGGCCCCCATGTTTCTGTGTCTTCTGGAGATGGAATTCTTCGCTTATTAGATCTGAGACAAAACAAGAAAGTCCTGTTTGCTGCAGAGGTGCAGGCGGGTGAGCTGCTGCTGCTGTTGCTGCTGCTGTTGCTGCTGCTGCTGCTGCTCTTGCTGCTGCCTTTGCTGCAGCTTTCATATCTGCTATAATTATAGCTCTAGTTCCTGCTGCTGTTCTA